CCCTGGAGAGGCCATGAGAATGCCCACAGCAGCCAACAAAGCCCTTCGCTGAAAGGGATGTGGTGGCACATCACAGGATGGGGCCACCTCTGCATCTGCGGGCAGAGTGGACAGAAGAAATCAGCCAACTGCTTGTTGAAATGTACGGAGTGTTAATTTGCATACGCAGTTCTAATTTAGAAATTAGGCTAAGAAATTCCGTTTCCAAGCCTGCACTTTAACTCCAGGAACACACTTTCTGCCAGAACTTACTATGAAGAGGTTTAGGTTTGTAGGAACAAATGGCTTTCTTCTTTCTTTCCCTTCCTTCCTCCTTCCATTCTTCCCTTCCTCCATTCCTTTTCCCTTCCTTTCTTCCTTCCTCCTTCCCTCCCTCCCTCCCTTCCTTCCTCCCTTCCTTCCTCCCTTCCTCTCTCTAGTGTGATGGATATTTTCTTGGAAATGTGTGTTAAATAAGTTGGGGTAGGTCAAATAAATGATCCCCGCAATAAATCATGACAAAAAAAAATAGTGGAGATTGTCTTCCATATATACCTAACCTCTATAAGTGTAATTAATATATAATTAATATATTTACACATAATAGTATATGTTAAAATGTAGAGAGAAAACTAGAGGGAAACGTGAAGTTCCACCACTTACCTGCAGGGGGAGCACCGCCCCTTGGTGGAGCAATGCCTGCAGCAGAGATGAACCCAGGGGAGCTGCTAGAAAAGGCCTGGCGCTGGGGCAGTAGGGGTGCTGGGGCAGGAGAGGCGCATGGGCAGGAGGGGCGCTGGAACAGGAGGGGCGGGGAGTAAAAGCGAGGGAAGGACCACAAAGGCAAATGCAAAGTAAAAGAAGCAGGAACGGGGTCGAGGCATCTGAGACGAACGCCCAGCGCATCAAAAATGTGGAGACTCCCCAGCACGGCCGGAAGTGTGGCTTTGGAGCTGCTGTATTACTTTTGCTGTGGGGAAAAAGAGTGTTAAATGTGTAGTGCAACTGCTTCCTCTTCTATCGGAAGAGCAAATCCAGAGAGAAGCTCTGTACCTTAAGGCCGTATTCCAAATCCGTAACTGCCTGCAAGAACGGCCAGACATGATGCAAAAAGCTAACCATTTCTGCAAACCTCGAATTCGTGGAGCTTTCAGGGGCAGTTCCTTCACCTCTTACCCTGTTCCACTTTGGCCACTTTCCACTAAAAGACAACGGAGAGGACAATGCACTGCTTGTACCTTTATCTAGGGAAGAGTGAATGAACTCTATTACATGCCTGAAAAAAATATTCTTCCAAATCGGATGCTAAGAAATCTGTTGTGAACAGTGCTGAGAGTAAGGAGATCAGCACGCCTCGTCCTGCACATCCGCACCTGGACTAGCTCCTCGCACTGGGCACCTGAACACTGTGGGCGGGACCAGCACGCCTCGCCCTGCACATCCGCGCCTGATGCAGCACCTTTCCGTGCATCACCCGGGGCATTTTTTGAAATATTGGTAACATTTCTCCCATGACAGGAATGTGCAGGGAGAAAATGAAACAGGTGATGATGACCTGGCATACCCTGGGAACGGAGACAAGTGGCTTTCTCTAACCTGGGCCTTGAGACAGGGGAAAAAGATGAGGAGTTTCCCAAGTTGGGTTAGATGGGGACGATGGATGGAAGGGCAAAGCGGATAGAGGAAGGTGGGGCATCCCAGGCCCCAGCGACTGTGTGCAAGGACCTGTCGCAGCACATGGCGTCTTCAGGACCCCGAGGTGCAATGCGGTGTGGCTGGAGAATATTGTTCTATCAAAATTTAAAACTTAAGTCAGATAAAAAGGATCAAAAGACACATACGACATGGACTGAGAAGGATAGGGGAACAATGTTCAATGCTTTAAGTGAAAAGGGAACTTATTCATTAAAAATCTTCCTTTCAGAAAGCTACTAGTGCTTTAGAAAGCACAAAGGATTTCAAACAAACTATGATTAAGATACATATCCAATAGTCTGGCAACTTACAAAACATGCCAAAACTGGTTTTTAAAGAAAATACAGGGCTGGGTGTGGTGGCTCATGCCTGTAATCCCAGCACTTTGGGAGGCTAGGGGTGGGGAGGTGGCGGATCACCTTAGGTCGGGAGTTCAAGACCAGCCTGTCCAACATGGTGAAATCCCGTGTCTACTAAAACTACAAAAAATTAACCGGTCTTGGTGAAACACACCTGTGATCCCAGCTACTTAGGAGGCTGAGGCAGGAGAATCGCTTGAACCCGAGAGGCAGTTGCAGTGAGCTGAGATGGTACCACTGCACTCCAGCCTGAGCAACAGAGTGACTCAGTCTCAAAAAGAAAGAAAAAAATACAAGTGTCTGAAAATTAAACATTTATGGAAAAAAGTTTCATCATCAAATCTGATGATTCTATAAACTACCAAAAGCAAACCTCCAGCGAAAACCGCAGAATGACTGACCTCCTGCATGCCACCGTCCATGCTCCTCCACGCTCCTGCCTCAACCCGGCCCACTAAGCTCAGGTCCTCTCCTGTTCCCTGGTTCTTGGGAAGCAGGTCTGGTGTGCAGAGGGCAAACCTTGCCCAATGCAGCTGTTACACTAGCAGGCAGAGACGTGGCCAAGCACAGCGTGTGCTAGAAGCAGGATAGGAGTTAGGAACTCGCCCCTCTTCCCTGGGCTGTAGCAGAGCACACGTTGCCACAGGCAGGGCCACAACGCAAAGTCCGATGACACATGCGGGGGGCAGCTCGACCTTACCTTGTTTGGGGGTTCCTTTTCTAAGGGCAGCAAGATTCATTTTTGAAAACATATATCAGGGCATACATTTCACATTCAAAAACACTGTCCCTCCTACCTCAGAGGCCTTGCTGTTTCCTTCTGTCTGCCACTGTTATTTACCCAGTGCACACCCAGGTTTCCTTGAACCTGAGGACACTTTTCCAATCTGACTTCCTCGGGGAAACTTTGTCAGCCTGGAGGTCCTCTGGACAAGTCTCTTGGCTGATCTTGTCATCTTGCTAAATCTTGTCATCTCTATGTTAAACATAGAGATTTCTTTGACATTGCCTTTGAGGTTACTGATTTTGAGTCATCCCATTATTTAGCCCTGCTACTTAATTATCTTAGGCCAACAATTTTTAAGTCAAAGATCGTTTTAATTATAACCTCTTTCATACAGCCTCTTTTAGGTTCAAATATTACCTCAAATCTCGGAGTGGCATAATCAGGTTTGTCTTAATCCATTCAGGTTCTTAAAGTACCTTGGACTGGATAATTTATAAAGAATGGAAGTGTAGTGCTCATAGCTCAGATGGCTGGAAGTCCAAGATCAAGGCACCGGCCGGTTCAGCATCTAGGAGGGCCTGTTTCCTCATCGGCAACACCTCCTCACTGTGTACTCACACACTGGAAGGGGCAAAGCAGCTCTCCAGGGCCTCCTATAAGGGCACTAGTGACCTCATCAACTTTCAGAGGCCCCACCTAATTCCATCCTATGTGGGATTAGGTTTCGATGTACACATTTGGGGGACACACTCAGTCCTTCACAGGTTTTTGTTCTTGAATTATCGTGTTCCCTAATTACATTTTCTTCAAGATCAGTTACTTGTTCGTCTGTCTTTCGTGACATGCTATTCACTTTCCTTAAATGTCAGATATCCTTGTTGAACGTGTGGAACTCCGAATGCAGCATTAGGACAACTCACAAAGGTAGCTGCCCTGGATTTCCTCCCCAAACATATCCCTTCCTAGAGCAGGGAGACTAGGCTGGGCGCCGTGGCTCACACCTGTATTCCCAGCACTTTGGGAGGCTGAGGCGGGTGGATCACCTAAGGTCAGGAGTTTGAGACCAGCCTGGCCAACAAGGCGAAATCCTGTCTCTACAAAAAAAAGTTAAAAATTAGCTGGGCATGGTGGCAGGCACCTGTAATCCCAGCTATTCAGGAGGCTGAGGCAGGAGAATCACTTGAACCCAGGAGACGGAGGTTGCAGTGAGCCAAGATCGTGCCATGGCACTCCAGCCTGGGCAACAAGAACGAAACTCCACCTCAAAAAAAAAGAAAAAAGAACAGGGACACTGGGAGCATGGACTGCTTAGAGGGCAGGGGTGAGATTAGCACGCATGGACAGAGAACTGATGGGGAATCCCTCCCCACCCTATGCCACAGGAGGGCTCCAACTTGGGCTGGGTGCATTTTTCTCCAGAAGAGCTGCCTCTCCTCTCCTGCCCCTTTCTCATGTCCTTCATGAACCACCACCACAGCAGAGCCGCACAGAGGGTACCCCCTTCAGAGGCCCTGCTCCACTGAGCCTGGTGGGTGGGGCAAATTCACAGGACAGCCTTCTCCTGAACCAGATCCCCTTGCTGCAGACCTGAACCTAAGGGTCTCTCCAGGTTTAGGGTAAGGACAGCTTTCCCCCCAGATTTTGTAGATTCTCCCAGCTGCCTAGCCAGAAACCACATTTTCCAGGCCCCATGTCAGTGCTCAAGCCTGTTTACAGCCTCAAAGATACCAAGCTCATACTAGGGGACAAATGTTGTGCCAGGTACACAGCGGTTTAAAAGAAAATCCCTGTTCTCATGAGCTCATAGTTAATAATAATAATAATAAACACATAATAAGCAAGACCATTTCAGAGCATGCTGAGATGAATAAAATAAAAGGGGTAAATGCAAGTGGTGGGGTAGGGACAGGGAGGATAATGGACATCTCCCTTAGGTCTGGAAGCTTCCTTGAACATGAGACCAAAACAAACCAGCTTCATGCAGTTCTAGGGGAAGGACATTCCAGACAAGGAGGGGCAAATATCACATCCTGAGGCAGGAAGGGCTTTGGCAAGCTCAGGTGCAGAGGCTGTGTGGCAGTGGGCTGGCCCAGCTCTGGCGCATGGGCAGGAGAGGGAAGAGAGGAGGGGAGGAAGAGCTGTGGGCAAGCATGAGGCAGGGACTAATGGTGGCATCTACACAACTGCTCACAGGTTGTTATCCAACATAAAGTATAAAAGCACAACTGAATATCAACAAAGAGAGAATAAATGCTTTTTATTCATTTGTAGTTATCAATAAAAGACCTAGCATTTAAAAAACTCCACTGTAAAACAAAGGTTACCATAACAATGTATTTCATGGGTTAATATTTCAATATTTATTTTTTAACAGAAAACACTCATCACATGCAAAACCTGTCACTTCACATCTTCAAGTTGAATAAGTTGACAATACCTAATCAAAAAGTACATGTGAAAAGAAAGCTTTTTCATAGTTGAACTTGAAGTCATTCAAAATTATTCAATAAAATGGATGTAGTGCTGGCCCGGCATGGTGGCTCATGCCTGTAATCCCAGCACTTTGGGAGGCCAAGGCGGGAGGATCACGAGGTCAGGAGTTTGAGACCAGCCTGACTGACATGGTAAAACCCCATCTCTACTAAAAATACAAAAATTAGCCGGGTGTGGTGGTATGCGCCTGTAATCCCAGTTACTCAGGAGGCTGAGGCAGGAGAATCGCTTGAACCCAGGAGGCAGAGGTTGTAGTGAGCCGAGATCACACCACAGCACTCTAGGCTGAGTGACAGAGTGAGACTCCGTACCCCTGCCCCCCACAAAAAAAAGATGTATGTAGTGCTGACAAAAAAGTTTCATATTTGGCATTTTTCTCTTACCCTCCCAAATATTATCAAAAGGTCTGATTCTCTGGGTAACAGAAAAGTGACAAATTTCAGTTGCTACTGTTCGACAGTTTCATAAATTTAAAAAGCCACATCCTGCTATGCTTTCAAATCATTTCACTGAAACCTAGTTCCTATCAAATATTAAAAATAAATCATACATGTGATCCAAATTCCAGAGGGCCAGAACTATAGTGCTTTTAGAAAGTGACTGTTTACACAGATGACTTACAAGGAAATGCATTTTATAACAACCACACTGGGGGACTGCAACAAGATTACATCTGCACATGGTGCTGTTTACTAAGACATGAAGAGCTGAAGGAGACTGAGATAGCAGCTCACAGACAGAGGGCAGAAATACACGGGCTTCCAGGCTGTACTGGCCCAGTTTATGTCCTACTTCCTCTTGATGTTTACAGCTCAGTTTCACTTAAAATTTAAAAAGCCAGATTCTGTTACACAGCCTTAATCCTTACATTTTCATTTCCTCTACATGTTAGAGCCCAAGGAGTAATTTCTATAATATTTGGCTAATATGAAATGAGAAACTGGCATTGCACAAGTCATGCAGTCTGCTCACTTACCAAGACCAATGAATTAGGTCTAATTTCTCCTTTTACTAATAAAGGTAACTTGTAGTAAAAAGTCGCAACTTAATTGAAATTATAAAGTGCAAAAACAGCATAATCCTAGCTTTACTTATATATAAATATGCATGCATCACTTTCTACTGTTTTTTTCTACTTGCACATTTTAAAATATTTTGGTATTATAAACGTCCGTGCCCTACATAATAGCAATAATGCTTTAACCGTATAAATGAGACTGCGGAAATTCTATTATTGGCTCTATTTTTAAGGATTACAATGAAATTATGTACAGTATATAAAGCTTGTCAAACTGAACATGGTCTTAGGCCATTACTACTATTTCATTCCAATTTGGATTTTAATACAATTAACTTACAGATCTGAAATAAAAGCACTGCTTAATGGTTTCAGATGCATGTTGGTACTGAATATGTTTCAAGGAATCTTTACAAATAATAAATTATAATGAAGAGAACCTACGACTAAAGCTGCTTACATGGACAACAGGAGGAATGACGATTGCAAATGTTATCTGTTATTGACAATTCTATGAATTAAAACTCATAACCACTTCTAGATTTCTTTAAAACAAGCAAAACTAAATAGCACAGACAAGAGTACTTTAATATAACCTTAATGGTCTAACAAACCTTCCAAATGGAAGGAAATACAAAATAAAGTTGACACATCAAATTTAACTTATACTAATATACTTCAGTATTACAAATTTACCAAGTCATTTTGCCAACTATGTGTAGAACCACCTAATATCAAAATATACTATGGTGGGTAAGCTCTGATTCCAGAGGGCTAAAGCCAAGGTTTTCAAAGACCACACGTACCAGCAGCCACACACACAAAGGGTTGTGCGATCCTACGGCTTTATTGACACCTTTCATCATGCTCTTAACACTGATGTTTTCATGGGTTCCTTCCCTGTAATGAAACTGTGTAGATAATCAATTTCCATAAAGAAATGTACAGTTGAATTAAGAATATTAAATCTTTCACACATGGGCTCAAATAGGAAGCATTTTGTTTAGTAAAATGAAAATTACTTTTAAAAAATATCTGCAATGTTTTTGAAATGCAAGGCACCAATAGAGAGCAGACATTCCAGCTGAGTGATTGTCTGGGGAAAAAAAAAAATGGAACCGGTCAGTCCTCTGTCCTTGTTAATGAGAATACTTCCTTCTTCGTGACTATGCAACATCTTCCAGATAATCTGCAACATCACTGAGCTGGGATACAGTCAGGTCTTGTGTGAGGTCATCAAGCTTCGTTGTTCAAAAGAAAGAAAAGAATTAAGTGTCAGAATGTGAGTAGTCTTAAGTTATTTTAAAAAATCTAAACCACAATGAGATAGCACCTTACTCCTGCAAGAATGGCCAAAATCAAAAAATCAAAAAATAATATAAATGTTGGTGAGGATGTGGTGAAAAGGGAACACTTTTACACTGTTGGTGGGAATGTAAACTAGTACAACCACTATGGAAAACAGTGTGCAGATTCCTTAAAGAACTAAAAGTAGAACTACCGTTTGATCCACCATTCCCACTACTGGGTATCTACCCAGAAGAAAATAAGTCATTATATGAAAAAGATACTTGTACACGCATGTTTACAGCAGCACAATTCGCGATTGCAAAAACATGAAACCAGCCCAAATGCCCACTGATCAACAAGTGGAGATAAAGACATTGTGGTATATACACACGATGGAATACTACTCAGCCATAAGAAGGAACAAATAGGCCAGGTGCGGTAGATCATGCCTGCAATCCCAACACTTTGGGAAGCCGAGGCAGGCAGATCACCTGAGGTCAGGAGTTCAAGACCAGCCTGGGCAACATGGTGAAACCCTGTATCTACAAAAACACAAAAATTAGCCGGACGATATAGCGTGTGCCTGTAGTCCCAGCTAGTTGGGAGGCTGAGGCAGGAGAATCGCTTCAACATGGGAGAATCGCTTGAACCCGGGAGGCAGAGGTTGGAGTGAGCTGAAATTATGCCATTGCACTCCAGCTTGGGTGACAGAGCGAGACTCTGACTCAAAAAAAAAAAAAAAAAAGTAACAAAATAATGGAATTTGCAGCAACCTGGATGGAATTGGAGACCATTATTCTAAGTGAAGTAACTCAGGAATGGAAAACCAAACATCACATTTTCTCATGTATAAGCAGGAGCTAAGTTATGAGGATGTAATGGCATAATAATGATACAATGGACTTTGGGGACTCCAGGGAAAGAGTGGGAGGAGCGTTAGTGATAAAAGGCTCAAATTGGGCCCAATGTATACTGCTAGGGTGATGGGTGCACCCAAATCTCACAAATCACCATTAAAGAACTTATTCATGCAACCAAACACCACCTGTTCCCCCAAAACCTATGGAAATAAGAAATAAAAAACTAAAAATTTAAAAAACTGTTGTTGTAATTAAAGTATTACTTTATACTTCATAAACCAACTCATATTTAAACCTGTGTTGAGAAGTGATTTGCCTAAAATCATGTCTAATAAGTTAGCACAATCGTTTGAGTTCAATGTTTTATGATTACTCTCAAATATTTCAAGTGAAAATTTAAAATAAAACACATCTTAGACATTATTCCAATTTAATCTAAGAAACAAATTAGTGAAAAATTGTATTAAACTTCTTTACCTGAGCATAGTCCCAATGTATGATTCTGTTCACAGTATCACTCTATGAATTGCTAACTCTAAAACCAAAATTTACCCACATTAAATTTCACAAAAAGTTACTAAAATGTATACTTTGGAAACTATCCCTTCTTACGTGTTCATATGATGGTATAGAACATTAAGTTTCTAACATCAAGCTCGATATGGTGTGACACACTTTAACACTGTGCCACCTGAAGCCAGATCATGAGTCCTTTTGGAGGCTGAAGTGAAAACAGAAAGGCAGACAGAACAGCCCATGGACTCTCAGACTCCTAGCCCCGGGTTCACAAAGTGTTGTAAGAAATGACTGATTTTTATTTCTGTTTAAACTACTTGTAAACTAGAAAGTTAACCTATTAGCCAACTTATACCTATTCATTTGTATAAACAACTTATGATGATGGAGAAAGGAAATATTAATAGCTATTTAAGCATAATGCAGGCTGAGAAAACATTATTTCTTAAGTAAGGAAAAAACCTTACTTAAGTAAGGGTGAGGATACAGGCTCCAAAATATTGAACATACAGCTAGGCAGGTCTCACTGACAGCTGAGTAAGGACAGAACTCAACCTTTCCAGTCCCACCTAGACTCATCATTGTGGCGACAGACCAGGGGACAGCCACAGCCACACACACACACACACACACTCTTAGGCATTATCTATGGCTGTCTTCTCCATACAATGGCAGGGTGGAGTAGTTATGGCCTGCAAAGCCTAAAATATTCACTATGTGGCCTTTTAGAGAACAAGTGTGCCAACACCTGGGCCAGATAATAACACACAAGAATAGGAACATCTTGCAGAGATGCAACAGTTCCATCCTGATATACTGTGAGATGCTTTTGTCTGTTAATCTGCCCCCCACATATCCTCTCATTTTGTTATTCTTCCGATACTCAGAAATTTAAGTTATAAGTAAAACCCTTTTCAACAGATAAGTCCTTGCCCTTCCTCTTGGTCCAAATATAGTCTTGCTGTAAAACTATCTCACAAAGAAAATTACTAGGAATCTTAATTACAGTTCTTATGCATTCAATTCAAATTCAGTTTACACAAAAACTGAAGAGTCAGAAAAGCTTGCAGAGAGATTATAAAACACTCTGATACCTTGGAACTGTATTTTCTCCTCCCATCATTGTTACAGAGTGAAATCGGTAAGGTTTTCCATTTCGTTTACAAAGTAATTGAGTGTTGTATTAACACGAATGTTAAGCTACAGACAAGAGTGAATACAGGAAAAATCGTGGATTGAAAAGGATCTTAATCTAGATAATTCAGTTACTGGAGGTCATTAATTTAGTTTTGCTTTAAGGCAAAGAAAACACAGTAACAACCTGAAACTTCCAAGAAGAACAGCTTCATTTAAAGTAGTTACCAAGAAAGAAAACTGAATGAACAAAAGCTAACTAGAAATAAATGGCTATTTAATAAAGCCTTTCCGCCAGGTACGGTGACTCACGCCTGTAATCTCAGCACTTTGAGAGGCCAAGGCGGGGGGATCACGTGAGGCCAGGAGTTTGAGACCAGTCTGGCTAACATGGGTGAAACCCCATCTCTACTAAAAATACAAAAACTAGCCAGGCGTGGTGGTACATGCCTGTAGTCCTAGCTACTCAGAAGGCTAAGGTAGAATTGCTTGATCAGGAGGCGGAGGCTGCAGTGAGCCAAGATCCAGCCATTGCACTCTAGCCTAGGCAACAGAGTGAGAGTCTTGTCTCAAAAAAAACAAAAAACAAAAAACAAAAAACTAATAAAGGCGGCTTTCATGCCTCATTAGTTTTAGAATAAGAACTCAAAGTGGGCAACTTAGTTCAAAACTATAAAAATAGATTTTATATCACAAAATAAAAATATCTAAAAGGTACATTTCGAGTCTTGAAAGGGAAATAAAGGATCCCTGTGATAGCAAGTTTCATACAAATCGACAGGAATTTTTTGTAAGATTTTGAAAAGTTTTATGAAGTGTAAATGTTCACGTTTGCTGAATTAGATTGCTGTGCATTAACAGAAACCTGGGATGCACACTTATGTTCTGTCCCTTACAAACATGTGACACTCTTCCTCCAACGTCTACCTATGTCTTTGCTCGTGCTGGCTCCCGTGCAGGGACTACCCTCCCCAGGGCCTCTGTTGCTAGTTCATCCTCTGTCATTTCTGGTTCAAAGTCACCTTCTAACAACCCTGCTCCTCCCAACATTCTGTCTCTTCTCACAGCGCCCTCCAGTGAAGCTCTGCAGTCAGGGCGGCACAGACATGTCCCTGGATCTCCCTTCTGTTCTCATGGCGCTTACCATGTTCCTCCTCAGCCCTCACAGAACCAAGTCAGTCATCTTTCAAAATCCCGATCAAATATTAGTTCCTGCTTCTGATTTTCACAGCCCATGAATGACTGGCATTTTATGGTACTTGTCACTATAAAAAGTAATTACTATAAAAAGTGTCACTATAAAACTTGATTTTCCTATGTTTGTACACATGGCTTTTCTCTCTCTGATCCTGCATAAATTTGAGGGGAGAAGTCTGTATCTGTGCCTATGACAGAAATGTCTATTGTGACTATAATCAATAATAGTATTAGATATCATTTATTGAATGCCTATTCTGCTAAGCACTGAGCTATATGCTTTACACGCTTATCTCTAATTTTCACAACCACCATCTCTCTTGCAAAATAGATGTGAGACCCAAGGGCCCAAAAGTTAAACAACTTGACCAAATTTGTGAGTGGTAAGTAGCAGCTCCAGGACTCAAACCCAGATGTGATGAACTTACAGAACTGGCCCATTCCACTGAGCTATCTCCTTCCTCACACCCCCACATCCCCAGCCCTGTGCTTTCTAAATGGTAGGTGCTTAATGGACAGTGGTTTTGGTCACCTTGGCTGAAAGGTGACCAAATTGTCTGCTGTATTCTGACTGCAAAGAACACAAATGCTTTTGTGTTCCCCAGGTGCCCAGTATCAATTCTCTGCACAGAAGGCTTTAGAAAATGCTTCCTAATGAAGTACACTGACTGTCAAAGTCCATTCTATGTAAAAGGCTGCTAATAAATGGCAAAATTATCTAAATTTAAGCTTTTAAGTGAAAATTTCTAGGAACATTGATGTGCCAAACCCAGTTAGTAGGACCCAGTGAGAAGCAGCCTAACAAAGCCCAGACTCCTGGACGCCATGCAAGGCCTTCAATGGCAAAGGGATGCCACGCCTCCTCTTCAACCCACATCATTTCACAAATCCTAGTTTAACAGTCATTTATTCGAGTCCTCTACCTCACATTTAAAGAATTCTTCTATAGTTTCTTTGGTATAAACTTTAAAGCAACATTTTTCAGGCCTCTTCAGGATGATGCAGGGTGAAAAGAGAAAGCTAAATTTATAACTGTAAGGGTATAATACATCAGGAATTAGAGAAGTGCTTTACATATTATCATTTAACCTTCAAAATAATCCTATCACATAGGTATTAATACTTCCACCTTACAAGTAAAGAAACTGAGGGTCAAAGGTTAAAGCTTAACTAAGAAAATATATGAAAGAATAAGAATGCAAACATAGATGTTGCTAACTTAGATTGTGTGGTTGCATTGTAAACGCTACCTCTCTCAAAGGCCTTCTCCCTGTGTGACGATCACACGCTTAGAGAATCCCACCTCGTTCTGGAAAGCAAGTCCCCTCCCAGCCATGGCAACCTCTGACCTGACTAGTCGGTAAACTCATCTGAGCTGGGGATAGCTTGATGTGGGTGCTGACAGGTGACTCTGCAATGCTACAGCTCACCATCGAAGGATCTTCTGTTCTCTGCCTACATAAAAAGGTCAAGTTTGGATCTCAAATATGGACTCATAACTTTATGGCCTACTGTCTTGTCTCCTGTGGTTTTTAGCCCAGCGTGGCTTGCATGTTCAGATGTTGCAACTGGCCAAGATGACCACACTCTCTGCACTCCAGGCTCAGCTTCATCCTGTGATCACAGTACCCTATACTGACTTCCATCTATGATACCAGGTGGTCAGTTCTCACCAGGCCTGACCCAGCCTGATCCCTCTTAATCCACAGCAATTCCAGTGCCCCAGGAATAATCCTCAGGTATTTCAGCAGCAAGACTTGGGTACCAAAGGAAGTGACAACCAAAACCAATCTTACACATTCATCAAAGACATTCTTTATAAACTTGAGCCAGGACTGTGTCATGACTTTTCATAATTTTCAACTGTTTTTCTACTAATTAGTATGAATTTTTGAAGCTTTACAGTAAATCAACAAATAGGTTAAAAAAAAAAAAGCGCTCTATGGGATATGCAGAACACCACACCTTATCACTGGTATTGATGTCATCTATTTCCACAGAAAGGTCTTCTTCAATCTCTTCACCAATACTTATCTCACTTTTCTCTGAGCGATGGCTGGTACTAATTTCAGGAGGGGAAAAAAAAAAATAAGAACTCTGAAAATAAACATTTAAAGAGATTAACTACCATTCTTTAAACATTCAGATATTTCTTTTCATCCTTTAAGTAAAATATAACATTAACTATAATTAATTTCATACATATTGTCCTGCTTGACCCTTAAAATAACGTGGCAAGGGCAGTAGCAGTCAAGTCAATGTAACAGATGAGGAGATGAAGGTTCAAGGCAGTGACTTTGGTCACAACAGCAAGAAAGAAACCAACCCAGATTTTTACAATTTCATCTACTACATCATGCTCTTTCTCAAAAACTGTATAATAAATTATAAAAAATACAGACTTCCAATTGGAAAGATAATCTGTCAACTAAATAAAATTCTCAGGCATCTAATTTAAAATTTCGAATCATATCCACAACAAATATTACTTCTACATTACATATTATATTTCTGTGTATAAGAAAGGAATCAACCGGCATGGTGGCTCTTGTCTGTAATCCCAGCACTTTGGGAGACCCAGGTGGGTGGATCACTTGAGGTCAGGAGTTCAAGACCAGCCTGGCCAACATGGCAAAACCCTTTCTCTACTAAAAATACAAAAATTAGCCAGGCGTAGTGGCACGCACCTATAATCCCAGCTACATGGGAAGCTGAGGCAGGAGAATGGCTTGAACTTGGGAGAAGGAGGTTGCAGTGAGCCCAGATTGCGCCACTGCACTCCAACCTGGGCAACAGAGTGAGACTCTGTCTCAAAATAAAAAGAATGGCAATCTTACTAGGGCAGACCACATATTAAGAAATGAGATCTGAATCAAAAACCTAATTTGAGAGCGTCATTATTTCAAGTCAAATGGAGACAATTCCTGCCACAAAAAGGTATGGAAGGAAGAGAAATTCAACACTTACAACATGGCAACTGTACTGCTTCTAAATGACTTCTCAGTTAATTCTTCAATGTTTCTCTTCATCTCATTCTTACTACCAAGTTTCCTGAACATAATGTGTCTATATTCTAATGTAAAATCAAAAACATGCTCTAAAGTCAAATATTTAATTTTGGATTAACTATCTTTTCTTCACCTTCAATCAATATGAACAACAGAATCAAATACACTAAAATAAGCACCAAATGTAATTTTGTCTTGTTTGTGTTTGGAAATTGTTTACAAATATGTATATATTTATGTATTTGCCCAATAGTTTTTCTTACCTGTTAAAATCATCCACATAGTCATCATCATCTCCAGTTCCTGATAAGTTTAAGAAAAGATATGTTATATCTAATACACGTCACAATTTACCTACCATTAAACACACATTTCCTTTAAAAAAAACTAATTATATTGCATCATTTAAAAAGTCCAGAACTAGAAATAACATTTTTAGCATATATAATATGAAGACAAATGACAAATGAAATACCTAAGAAATAATAAACTGTTACAAGTGACTATAAAATGTGGTTAACACCTCATCTTTACTCCAGGTACTCTAAGGCAATTAACATGGGGCACGCTCACGATTAATAAGGTCCCTTGACTTAATGGCATATAGCAATAGCAAGTCATCATTAATCCCCTCTAAGTACTAGATGAACTACTGAGAGTTTTCAACATGCTAATTGTTTCGTTATAAAAGTTAAAAACACTCACGAAGTGTGAAGAGGCCACAGAGCACAGCAAAAAGGGCACCTTCAGTCAGACAGAGCAGGGCTCAACTGCCACTCCACAGCTCTGCCACCTGAGAATGTAAGGTGCCCTTTCTTGGCCATGTCCTCAGCTCTGACGTACAGCCAAAGCCACACCAATCAGAGTTAACACAAGGATTCAGGTACATGGTGTGCTTAACAGAGACCTTGGTCCACAGTAAGATCTTAATAAAAGGCAACTGAATGAAGGTGGGATGGTGAATGGTGAGACAGTGTTACCAGTTTCTCAAAGTGCACCACGAGCCTTTGATAGAGTGGGCACCTTAAGATCAACTTAAGGCTATAAAGCACAAATCTGCAAATCAGCAGCCCTTCCCTCCTAGGACTTCTGAGGGCTAGATAAGGAAAAAGGGTTGTCAGCCTCAAAGCAGACTTGGAGGCACATGAGAGCCAACTTAAAATGCGAATGGATGGCCTATGAAAGACCCGGGAATTATGCACAGCCACATGCAGAAGATGTGGATCACAAAAAGAAGACCTGGCTGACAGGTCTTCAAAGAGCCGTTCAAAGATCCTGTGGGCCTTGTCCTCGATCCTCCCTCAGATAAGGCTGGACTGTCTCTAAATCGGTCGGACTGCTATGGGGATTCAAGCTCTGTCCAGACAGTTAGATAAGGTCAAATCTATGATTTGACTTCTTATGGTCAAATCTTATGATTAATTTATCAAGCAGATGAGTGATGACTAGGTCCCCTAGAGGTATAGCAATGACTAAGATGGTATCTCAGATCTCAAGGAGCAAACACTCTAGTGAAGAGAAACAGTGGAACAAACCAAATACTGCTAGTGCAATTGGGAAGAACTCCAAGGATGCAACTGAGTGGAAACCTAGGTTGCAGAGGTACAAATTATTGGGGACAGTGTGTTCCAAGAAGAGGAAACATGTGACAGCCCTGAGGTGGGGAAGTGTGCGGTGGTTTGAAAAACCACCAGTGCAGCTCAGAGCAGTGACGCACGTCTGTAATCCAGCTACTTGGGAGGCCAAGGCGGGAGGATTTGAGGGGTTTGAGACCAGCCTGGCATTGCAAGATCTACCCAAAAATTAAAAATTTATTTTATTTTTAAATTTTAAATTTTTAAATTTTTAAAATACCGTCTCAAAAAAAATTTAAAAACTATCAGTAAGGAAGCCACACAACCATAAAACAATGAATTTGGGGAACAGAATGGGTGGAGGGAGAAAAAAGGAGTCGCGATCAGAGGGGTTGGCAGAAGCCAGATCATGAGAGCTTGGCTGGTCGCAATAAGGATCTTAGCCTGGATACAAAGGGAAGCTCTTCTGGGGTGGGGTGGGGGAAGACAGGAGTGACAAAGTCCAGGGAAGCACTATCTCACTTCTGTTTTCCCGGAGATAATCTCACTTCTGTTTTCCCGGAGATAATCTTACCACCGCAAGAAGAAATGTGCTTACAGGAGGCAACAATGAAAGTAAGGAAAGCAGAAGGCTGTCAGAAAGTCCAGGTCAAAGATAACAGAGGTAAAGGCTTGGGTCAAGGCAGGTGTCCCACAGATAAGACAGATGGGTAGATGATATGGGGTGGGGAGAATATCAGCAAACAAAGAAAACATGAATCCTTGTTACTGCTACACTCAAATCTTGCCCAGTAATGAACTGGAAATCCCTGACCATAAGCAGTCAGGAGGGACGTTTCCAGCTTCCTCTCCTCTTGAGAATTAAGAGCTCGTCTCCACTTAGCCTCAAAGGTTAAAGGGCTGCAAGTGCTTGACAGAAACTAGGCACTGTTAGGGCAAACTAGGCACTGTCAGGGCCGAGTAGGAGAGGTGGAAATCTGATTAAACAAACCGTGTATGTGGCTGGTTTGCAAGTGCTAAGTAAAACCAGCAGTGGCAGCTACTAAAATGTCAGCCTCCAAGGACCCATCATGGTGTTCCTATGTATGAAGGCCAGTGAGGAGAGCAGAGGTGGACACTGAGCTGAGACAGCAAGGACAGCTGTGGCTGCAATGTGGACTTAAAGGAAGCTAACTGGATTCCCCATCTGCCAGCATTTGTAGTCAATTCAAAACACAAGGTATTTACTGAATAATGTGCTATAACACATTAGATTCTGACTTCTTGGTTATGTATTGTTTAGTATTAACAGTAATTTAAGCCAGTGTCAAAATGATTAACAGAATACATATAGGTTGAGCATCCCAAATGCAAAAATTTGAAATCCAAACTTGAATGAAATCCAAAACTTTTCGAGTGCCAATGTGATGGTCAAAGAAACTGCTCATTGGAGCATTTCAGACTTTCAGATTTTCGGATTTGGGAGGCTCATCTGGTAAGAAAAATGCAAACATTTCAAAATCCAAAAAAATCCAGATTCCGAAACACTTCTGGTCCCAAGCATTTGTGTTAAGGGATACTCAACCTGTACTACATTACTTTAAGGGTCAGCAAATTTTGGCCCTCAGGCCAAGGATTCTTGTTTTCTTCCTTTTTTGACAGTCTCTCCTCCCCATCCCATACCCTCTGTCTTATCTGCCCTTACCCCAGTCATCTTTGGCCCGGACTTCCTGACAGCCTTCTGCTTTCCTTACTTTCATTCTTGCCTCTGGCTGATGACCTGCTTTTTTTCAGCCTATAAACTAAGAATGGCTTTTACATTTTTAAAGATTGTTTAAAAAAAAAAAAAAAGACCATATGAGACACAGTACATGCCGTCAGCAAAGCCTAAAATATAGACTATTTGGCCCTTTACAGAAAAAGTTTAGTAACTCTTGCTTTAAGTATGCAAAGTACCTATCTATAAACACTCCATTTGGGCACTTTTAATATTTGTCTGCCAAACTAAAATAGATTGTGCTCTAAAGCTTTATTTGTAGATTATTTCTTTGGAACTCAGAATTTAAGTTCCCATTGAAATGATTATTTCAGTGCCGTCTAAATAACACACCGGCAGTAACACACAACGATGAGGGCTCTGTGTGATGCAGCAGGACTCCAAAAGCAGCATGACCTTGGGCAAGTTACTTAACCTCTATTCTTCATCTGTAAAAATGGAGATAGTAATAAAACCTACCTCATAGGATATGAATTAAATAAAATAATTCCTTGGTACAGCACCAGGCACTTATCACTAACATCATTATTCTCCTAGGCTAGTCCACTAGCATCTCTCTACGTATTACTCAAAATATCTAGAGTACTGTATATTTAAAATGTGAAAAACCCAGACAGAACACAACATTGTTGCAAAACTAAATAAATCTTTATTTCTACTGAATCCTAATGCCTAGCTAAATAACAAACATCCAGCTAGTGAACTGGTAGTTCTCACCTGCGTAACTACCCCAATTCCAACCCGAGGTAAGCCTAAGTCCCGAGAGAACTGAAGTGAAGGAGCACACCACCCTCCTGCCTGTACCCAGCAACTCTGAAGCCCCAGTAACCACATTCCCTCCTAAGGATGAGAATTCTCAGCAGCTCCCCACTCAGAAACAGGCGGGAAAACCCTCACTTTGGTAAGAGAATAGAGCAGTCAAGAGAAAAAAGCTAAAAGGTTTGGCAACAGAGTGAAACACCACAAAAGTGAAAAAAAACAGAACACAAAGGGGACAGGGCAGCCATCACAGTGCAGAAGTCAGGAGTAAAGTCTCCAGTGGCAGTTAGCCATTGAGGTCGAGTGGAAAAGAACATCTAATGGCAACCACAACCACAGCTGACAGGAAAAGCAAAAGGGAGGGAAAGGGGGCAGGCCCACCTAGCTGGCCAGCCAGCAACCAGGACGCACAAAGAGCAGAGGGCAGCACAACCAGCAACTCAGTTACCAGGACTCCAGGGCACTGTGTGAACAAGAATCCAGGCGGCTCAGGGAACATTTATTCTTCTGCAAATGGGGGAACAAAGTAACATAAAAAGAAAACTAACATTTACTAGGCACCTACCATGCCAGGCACTGTACTTTAATTTACGTATGAAGAGATATTTAAATCCTATTTATTCTTTAAAACAAGGCAGATGTTACTAGTTCCACTTAACAGATGAGGAAGTAGCAGTTTAGTTTATCTCCCTACGCTACCCATCAATCAGTGCCACATCTGAGATGTCACTTCCATCCAACTCCAAGCCCAAGTTCTTTGCACTATCCAAAATGTCTCTCCAGAAGAGGGAAGGGCGTTCTCGGAGCTGCCCCTCGGACAGGGCTGGGTTTTAAAAGCACACGGGACACAGCTGTCTTTCTCCCCAACCTGCCTGTGCAGCTGTCTTCCAATGCTTCCATGTGTGAGTGATTACAGACCAGGAAGCGATGCCATCACATCCACAGAGAGCATAGGAAGTGGCCATCGAGAAGCTGGCTGCACCGATTCCTTCAGGTCAGCAAGTTTGCCTTTACATAAATGAGTCTGCCTAAAGTATGCCTGTCACCCTGCTACAGTCTTGTACACAACAGAACACTCAATGAGAACTGTGCTCTCAGCATATGGTGCAGGGCTCGGTAATGTTCACACTGACACTCTTACTTCCATAGGAATGAACGTACTTACATGGCAGGCTTACCAACTTCTGCTCCATAGAACAGAACTGAACACATCTCACAATTTTTCTTTCAATAAGTCTGTTTCCCCATTAGACTGAATTCTCTGAGGCCTGGACCATGTACTACCAGCATCTAGCAAATGGCTCTGCCTCTGCACAAATTTTTCTATCTGAACTGAAATATCTTCCCTTCTCTCTTATACATCTACTTAACCATGAAGCTTCTGCACAGAAGTCACTTCTTATAAAAGGTCTTCCCTGAATGCCAAGACTGGACAAAGGTAACCTACTAGCCATTTCCATACAAATATATACTGACCCTTTTACACTCAAAATTATCTGTAGATGCCCGTTTAATGTTCATATTCCTGACCAGAATTCAAACTCCATGAAGACAGAGGTTCATGAGGACATGATGGCTGTTGCTGTAGCCATCTCTCGTATAGGGTGTAATCCTGAACACGTAAAAGCCATTCAAACACCTGCTGAATGAGCAGCGGCAGGAAGGTGTTCAGCGTAGGCAGACTGAGTCACTTCTTTTACAACCTTACCCTAAAAATAATCACTTTAAAACGATCAACACAAAAACTGGAAATCTAGTTACCTAATCCAAGTGATCCAATTTTATCACTGATCAATTTCAGATCTTTCAAAACCGTATTTCCCCTTTTACCTGTGAACAGGAAAAAATACTAGCATTAGAGTGACTTTTAGAATACAACAGTCTCTAAACCACATCAATTTTTGTTGTTGTTCAATATGGGGGCTTCTTTATGACAGGAGCATAATAACCTAAAACTAAGGAAAAAATAAACTGTGATTAATGAATGCTTAAACTATGCATTACAACCCTTTTTTTGAGACGGAGTCTCACTCTGTCACTCAAGCTGGAGTGCAATGGCGCAGCCTCGGCTCACTGCAACCTCCGCCTCCCAGGTTCAAGCGATTCTCCCGCCTCAGCCTCCTAAGTAGCTGGGACTACAGGCACGTGCTACCACACCCGACTAATTTTTGTATTTTTAGTAGAGACAGGGTTTCCCTATGTTAGATAGGCTGGTTTCAAACTCCTGACCTTGTGATCCACCCGCCTTGGCGTCCCAAAGTGCTAGGTTTAAAGGCATGAGCCACTGCGCCCGGCTACAACCCTTTTTAAACCATAAACAATACTACTTTATTGGAACACAACCACCAAAAAATATTTTTGCCTAATTATAAGACATCACTTTCCATAAACAGCCCTGTTAGGTATGAATTCATAGACTACTGTTAATTATTTTCATGAATCTTATTTTTCCTTTGAACTTCTAAATTTTTCTTCAATGCAACTGCTATTTCATTTACTAAAGTGACAATCCTCACTGGTTTTTGGTCCTTCGTTCTCAACGTCCTCTCTAAATGATCATTCTCTAATCAGTGTCAGAATGACACGTTCATGATGTCCTGGATTCCTTTCTTAAAGGTGGCAGTAACCACAGGAAAGAAGCAAATGGGAAGGGATACGAACCTTATAAATACATGGCTGGTTTAAGAGAAGAAAGAGGTCGGCTCTCTTATGTGCCCTAGGAAGTCCCACAGTATATCAAGCAATACAAAAAGATTCGGAAGTACTGGACAATTATGCAAAACTCATACTGCAAATTCCTAGTGAATCTACTTTTGGAAACTTTCCAAAAGAGGTACACGAAGCTCTGAAACACTACGCTAATTAAATACAACATTTACTATTATATGGTTTCCAAAGGACCTCTGCCCATCCTACCTGTTCAGGGCTATGCTGTTTAAATTCCTATCACTGTGTGGGGAGAGGTGGGAAAGTAACTAGTGCCAGAGCTAGACTATTCCACATGTAATCAGTGCTCTTTAGCTCTGCTGCATTTACGATGACATGTCAGGTCATTCTTGAAAATGATCTGCAGAATAATTTTTTATTTAACATTTTATGATACTTACTGTGGTATCACTAAACAAATTTTTTAAAATTAATTGAAAGCAAATCCGACTCAAGTCACTGTAAATGTCCAAAAAAGGAGAGATGATTTAAAAAGTATATTTCTATAGATAATACAAATCAGCTAAAAAATCAACTAAAAAGTATTCCGATGGTATGTAGGTATAGGAAGGGGCAGAATACAAAACAACATATAAAATATGACCACATAAGAAGTAACAAAATATTAACAGGAAAGATTTCTGAGTGATAAAATTATAGGTTATTTTAGTGATTTTCCTGGAAAAAAAAAATCAACAATAATCATATAGTGCTTAATTAGAGAAAAAATATCCCGAGTATTCAAGCCCACATCTTTGGGCACTTACTCTCAGAGTCTTTTAAGGAAGGGGCCCCCGCCAGGGAGCTGAGTCCACTTTTTAAGGGGGGTGCATCCGAGAGCGAGGCCAGGCTTCCTGGTTGCTTCCTAGGTTCACTCCTCCTAGCAAGAAACAAGGACAGTTAATCGGTGCTCTTATGTTCTGCCACTAAACACTTTTATCCTGCCACTGAAACAAAAGCAACTTAAAAGATACTTTATATGCACAGTGGCTGGAAATCAAGAATATACACTTTAAAAATTCAAAACCATAAAGTATACCAAGGGAGTGCAAACTACAGATCAACCACAATCAGCACAGCCAGGGTGTAAGAAATCAGCTCACCTCTCTTTAGAATTCTGTTTGATAATCTTATAAACTAAATTGACCTCTGCACTGTGATTTTTTTCCAGAAGCCCTTTTCCATCACCCAGACATGCAGCCAAGGGACAATACAGGAGTTTACTAGCAAATAAGTGCCACCTCACAGATTAAATATTGTTTACAGAAACCACAAACAGCCATGCTGATGAACTCCCCTTAAAGTCATGACCACTAACCTCAAGGGTACCTTTAACACTGCCCAACACCCCCCAGGTTTCCACAGTCCCTTCTCGCCTTACTTTGTTATAGAAAGATTTCACACTTTCTCCGCTCTCTTCAAATCGCAACCTCCGTCCTCCATCCTCATGCAACTATGAACTACGGTGACAGCTTGCACAGGTGCCACCATCATATCCACCCCCTGCCTACAACGGGACCCACACGCTGTCCACTTTTCCAGCAAACACAAGCCCCTGCATGGGATTCCATTGCTGTGCAGCCCTCCAGGAGTTCTCCTCTCACTCCCTTACATCATTAATTCTTCCATCTTTAAAGCTGAGCAGTGTTCGTCTGCATACATGCTGTTCTTTCTCCCACCTAAACACGCTTTTCAGCCCTAAATCCTACCCCTCCAGCCACCACCCTGTTCCTCTGCACACTTTTACACCTCATCAGAAAACTATCTGTCATCTACAATCCTTTCCTGTCTTGAATGTACTCTAATTCTCTCACCTGCCTCACACCCCCATTCCAACAAAACTGTGTCAAGGTCCTCACTGACCTCCAGATGGCTAAATCCAATGGCATCATACAGCTACTCCTCCCTACCGCCACCTCCAAAGACACCACTCTCCTGGTTCCATCTCCTCCACTGCTTCCAGCTCCCTACTCTGGCCTCAAGGTGTGCAGGACCTGCTTCCTTGGTGATCCTCTGTAGTCTCCCACACCCACATTATCTACAAACTGAAGACTCCTAATTTACATCTGCAGCCTAGACCTCTCCCAATCCCAACTCACATACCCAATCGCCTACTTCGGATTTCCACTAGCAATCTTCTCTAACTTAGCACAGCGACAGGGGCCTCCAGGCTTTCATGCCACCTGTCTGTGCAATCCACTCTTCCTCTTGCCATTCTTCATCTAATGGGTTTCCAACCTTCTAGTTTTGCAGGCTAAAAACCATGATGCCACTCTGGATATTACTTTTTTCTCTAGCACTTACTGGCAAATCCTTTTCCATCTAACCTCAAAATACTTCTAAAACCCACCTGTTTCTCCCCACCACTTCTATCACTTCTCACCTGAATAATCATTAATGGCCTCCTACCTGGAAACTCCAAGTCCAACCTTCCTCAGCAACCCTGGGATCCTTCTGTAATGGACGCTGGATCAAGACCCTCAGGGCTTCCAGTCTCAAAGGAAAGCCATCCAGCCTCTCATCTCTGAGTCCACCTCATCTGATCCCCATCTTGCTCTCTCTGCTACGTCCCCACTCACCTCTCTGCTGTCTGCTGTTTCCTCTCCCCAGGGCTCCATCAACCCATGGCAACTCCCTCATCTCCTCTAGTTCTTTGCTTACTGGGCAGCTCCAAGTGAGGCCCCCTCCAATTTGGACAGCTGACATGCACCTGCCCTGACCACACACTTCGGCTTCCATCACTGTTCTGCTCTCATCACCCAACACACCGCAGCATAACCCTCATTGCCTGACTCCGTTGCCAGAGCGGGAGCTTCCTGAGGGCAGGAGTCTTCCTCTTCTATCATTGCTGTACCCCACCCTGGAACAGCCCTGGCAAGTGGCTGACAATCTACACTTACCTGTTAGAATAAATCATGTCTAGGTTTTTCTAAAACCTGGGGTTGTTTTACAACATCAAAGGCATTAACAATGCATAATCAGATTTATGGATCCAATAATTATAAACCATCCATAGTTCATTATTTTTTAACTACAAAATGAAAACATTTATTTTTAAACCCCTAGTCTCACAGTTCAAAAACTATTTACTCACAAACCATAAGTTTTCTCTGGCTTGGGAATGGGATCATCAAAGAAAGAATCTCCTTCCATATCATCTTCATCTGGACAAAGGCCGGCTTTGTCTTTGCCATCTAAAGTTTTGTTGCTTAGAAAAGATCCAATCTTTGTTTCATGGGACAGTAAGTGAAGGCTGCTTTTGCTCTTGGATTCTGACAGAGAGACACTTGTATCACTCTGATTGGCCTCATTGTTGGCTTTCTAGAAAGAAAGAGAAAAGGCCTCCTTGGTGAGATAAAACTTTAAGATATTTTAAATAATAAAAGAAGTCGCATGAGCATAAGGAAACCTGTGTTTGTGTGTGTGCAACCTCTGTGTGTGTGTGGGGGGGGGGGGGGCGGCTCCCAGCAGTGTGAACTGCAGACCAATGCCATGATTCATCACTCCATCCCCAGGATTCCTAACATGGCAAACTTTCAAAGGTGGAAAAATATTAGAGAAATATATTAATACCATTCCTTTCCTCTTTCCCTAAATGGAAATAGATTTAGTATACCTATCCCATTTATAAACACTTTCCCATTGAGAAACAATTTCCCATCTCCTCTTCCATATGTCATTGCTTTATGAATTACCTTAATACATTTTTCAACTTGAAAACAGGAGAGACCACTACTATTAAAGGAGAAAAGAAAGATTACATATGAATGAACCAAGCATTAAAGTAGTCATTCGTAAAAATAGCCATTTTCCATCCAGTGCTAAACACAACAGGCATCAAGGTGAAAGACACTGCCTTCAACCACTCAAACATAAACATTTGCTAATTAAAATAATTATCTCAATTCTGACTTCCAGGGTAACTTCCTAACCTATACTTATTTTGATGTCCATGGACATATATATCTATGTGTGTGTACGTGTATATTTCTCTACATATCTTAACACAACGTTATAAAAAAAATTCTGAATCATCCTTATCCATGCCCTTGGATATAGAGTGATGTTACCACTTTTCTTTTCTTATTTTCAGGGAGTCCTAACCTTCACGGCTGACTTTCACGCCATTCTTGGTCAGATTTCTTTCTGCCCTTAGACGGGTCTATGTTAACAATAATAATGAAAAAATAAATAATGCTAGTAATAATAAAAAGTAGTAATAATAAAAAGCAGCTAACATTTATGGTGAACATTCAAATGCTTCACCTTATCTCATTTAATCTTCAAAATGGCCCTATGATCTGGAGATAGCTTTATCTCTGTGGATATAAATAAGGAAACACAGAGACAGACATTTATGTCACTTGTCAAAGTCTCCAGTTAGTTAAGTGGTAAGGTCAATATCAAAGTCAAAGCCTGATTCCAGAGGTTAACTCAATATTTATGCTATTCGGCTAAATTATAATGAATTTGTGGGCTTTATGGGTTAAAAATGGCAATTTCCCAAAAATCAGCCTTGTGTACTAAAGAGAGCAGTATTGTGTAAAATACCTGGAGTACTAGAAAAAGCACTCAACTGAAACAAAGAATCTGGAATGTAGTCCAAAATTATTAACTGCATTTTTTTTTTTTAAAGAAACAGGGTCTCACTATGTCACCCAGGCTGATCTTAAAACTCCTGGGCTCAAGCAATCCTCCTGCCTCAGTCTCCCAAGTAGCTGAGTTTATGAGATTACAGGCACAAACTACACCCAGTCGTATAATTTTTTTTTTTTTTTTTTTTTTTGAGACAGAGTCTCGCTCTGTCACCCAGGCTAGAGTACAGTGGGGCGATCTGGGCTAAATGCGCTAACTGCAACCTCTGCCTGCCATGTTCAAGCAATTCTCCTGCCTCAGCCTCCTAAGTAGCTGGGATTTCAGGCGTGTGCTACTACGCTCGGCTAATTTTTGTATTTTTAGTAGAAATGGGGTTTTGACGTGTTGGCCCGGCTGGTCTCGAACTCCTGACCTCAAGTGATTCACTCGCCTTGGCCTCTCAAAGTGCTGGGATTATAGGTATGAGCCGTGAGCCACCGTGCCCGGCCCATATAATCTTAAGTAAATTAATTTCCTAGGCATGAGTTTCCTCAAGAATTGAACTAGATTCGTATTTTTCAGACCAAATTATATCTAGGAGTTAAGAAAGAAGGGATGGATGGCTGAGAAAGAATTAAAGAGTAGTAACTACTGAAGCATGGTGACCAAAGTTTGGGTTAGACATCATCAAACAAGATGCTCTTGAAGGATGGTTTCACTTTTCATATGGGTACAGACAGAATGCATTATGCATGTCTTATGATATACGTTTACATCTTTACACCAGGTAGAGGTCTTGACTAGTTGACAGTAGGCAAGATACATGCTGTGCAAATTTAGTGCCTTCTAGAGAGCTATACATTCCATTTTATTAATATAAATTAATGATTATAAAGAGATGTCTGAAAAAATAAATACCAAGTTATAATTTTAGACAACATATTTTCAAAGAGGCAGAAACTTTCAAAAATTTCCTAACAACTTTCTTGACGTTTTCCTGGTATTATCAAATATCGAAAAGTATGTAATTCACACCAGTTGTAATTTCTGATTTTTACATTAATAATGGATTTATTTAAAAGAATATGCATTTGGAAATAAATACCCTGATGTGACATTTAAACATATGTACAATGACAGAGCCTATGGCCATGACAGATTCCCCTTCTAAACACTCATGAGAAAGTACCAAAGAATAACTGGCATGAAAGAAACTGAAAAATGTAAATGTAAAGCAACATTATGAGAAACAATAATTATGCTGATTTCCCCAAGAATTCACACTGCCAACGTAACTTAAATCCACATAATGAACTATCTAATATCAAAGCTGAACAACTAATAGGTATCCATGATTATTTTTTGACAGGTTTGACCAATATTCCTGCTATGGACAGAAAGACCAGTTTTAGGAAGACAAGTTTTACAGAGAATTACTATATTACACAACACATACTTGTAAACATAACATAATTATTTTGTTTTAAAAATATAGTTCTCTTAATCCAGGAAGTAAAAATAAATTCTGAAACAATCTGCTTTGGAACTGCTCTCAAAATCAAGTTCTAAACCACACAGTAACATGTTACTGCTTTATAACTATGGCTCATTTTTGCCAAAAGATCATTACCCAACTAGGTTATTAATGAATTCACTAAACTTAATTCCAAATAAACTTCACTACTTAAAAAATCTACACAGAGGAGAAATATTTGTCATCAACACATTTTGCAGATTAAAACCAAACTGAAAACGTTGAGAGTAGTTTCAATGGTTCCTCCAAGTATACAGCAGATGTATGCGTGTACACAGATGCTCAAACCACAAAAGGCCTTACCTGATAAACTGTCAAGTGAAAATATCACAAAGTTGAAAATGGGCACTTCATAGACATGATGAAGTGCAAAAACACAACATCCAAAAAATGTTGGACATTCATGACCATGTGGCTGACTGGAAGCCATGGCTCAAGGTCACTGCCCAGCCCCGAGAGAGAATCGTACCACCAATTACTGTCCTGGGAAAAGATCAAAACTCAATGCATGGTATCTACTTAATGTATATCACTTTTGTACCATCATAAAGTCGAAAAAGCATAAATCAAACCGTTGTAACATTGGGGACCATCTGTATACGTATGTATACCCTGGAATCTGCTTTAAAAACCCTTATCATGAGTTAAGACGAACTTATGTTATGTACATTAACTTCAGTTACTTGAGTTTTATATCACCTGGATTTAGCTAAGTTGAAGATTCAAAATGAAGCTAAATAACTAAGGTTAAGTATTGTTTAAAAACCAAGAAATAACGATTTAAAAAATACAAGGCCAGGCATGGCGGCTCACACCTGTAATCCCAGCACTTTGGGAGGCCGAGGCGGGCACGAGGTCAATAGATTGAGACCATCCTGGCCAACATGGTGAAACCCCGTCTCTACTAAAAAAAAAAAAAAAAAAAAAAAAAAAAAAAAAAAATTAGCTGGGCATGGTGGCACACACCTGTATTCCCAGCTACTCAGGAGGCTGAGGCAGGAGAATCGCTTGAACCCAGGAGGCGGAGGCTGCAGTGAGCCGAGATCACACCACTGCACTCCATCCTGGTGACAGAGTGAGACTCCATCTCAAAAAAATAAATCAATAAAAATAAATAAATAAATAAAAAGTATATACACTGGCTGGGCCCGGTGGCTCATGCCTGTAGTCCCAGCACTTTAGGAGGCTGAGGTAGGCAGATCACAAGGTCAGGAAATCCGAAACCATCCTGGCCAACACAGTGAAACCCCGTCTCTACTAAAAATACAAAAATTAGCTGGGTGTGGTGGCACCTGCTGTAATCCCAGCTACTCAGGAGGCTGAGGCAGGAGAATCGCTTGAACCAGGAAGTTGGAGGTTGCAGTGAGCCGCGATTGCACCACTGCACTGCAGCCTGGCAACAGAGAGAGAATCCATCTCAAACACACACACACACACACACACACACACACACACACACACACACATATCATGGCAATGCCTTAGAATTCATTCTCTGGACAAGCACAGAAGTTATGGGTCAAACTGTATCCCACAAATGAAATACGTTGAAACCCCTAACTCCCAGTACTTCAGACTGTGACCTTATTTGGAAAGTGTCACTGCAGATGTATTTAGTTAAGATGAGCCCATTCAGGAGTAGGGTGGGCCTAGGTCCTAACCCAATGACTGGTATCCTTGTTAGGGGGAAGAGACACAGAGAAACACAGGGAGAAGTCCATGTGAAGATGGAGGCAAAGACTGCAGTAATCCATCTACAAGCCAAACAGCATGTGAGTCTAGCAGCCACCAGAGCTAGAACAGGAGACACGCCCCTCCTGGCACCTTGATTTCACATTTTTAAGCCTCTAGAACTGTGACACAATACATGTGTTGTTTTAAGCCACCCAATATTGGTACTTATAATTACATCAGCCCTAGGAAACAAATCAACTTATTTCTAACAAAAAACTAAAACAAGTTTTGTCTTTTCATAAAAGTGAAGGACCTATTGCACAGCACTACAATGGTCATTAAGTTCTCTTGGCTGGAGTTCAAGACTAATAATAAGCTCTATGGGAAATTACAGTGCAGCCATAAGAAAGCTTTAGTATATATTTAAATTACCCAACAGTACACTCATATAATAAAGAAGCCAATCATTTCTGGACTAACAAAAAGGCAGCACTACAGAAGTTTCACAGTGAAAAACCTTAATTTTTCAGTAGTCAAA